TAGAGCAGATTGTTGAATTATAACAGATAAATTATAATATTTATCTTGATTATTTCTAGGCGAAAAGTTATTTCAAAAATTTTATTTGCAAGAAACCTTCCCAGTACTATACTAAATAACTTCCCAAAGTTTCATGGCGATCCAATGAGTGGTTTGGTCAAGCATAAAGGACAAACAAACAAACAGACACACACACATACATTCATTTTTATATATATAGATTGGATCAGTAAACATGAGGGCAACCATTTCGTTCAATTACATTACTTTATTTTTCAAATAACATGTTTGTAAACAAAAAAGGAGATGATGATAAATTCAATGAATATTTACACAATCATAGAAAAATTATATTAAACATTTATATTTAAAATACAATATAACGCGGCTGATGATTGTAAAACGAAAATTAAAATTATACCGCGAATGTTTCTTTTTTTAAAAATCGAAATTTATTCTCAAAGAGAAATAGCGACATTTCTAACTTTGAGGATGAGGTATGGAAAGGTGAAACATGAAGAGTAATGGAGAAGGAAAAATAAAAAGTGTCCAGGGGCGGGAATCGAACCCACACCCTTCTGCTTACCGGGCAGGTGCCTTGTCCACTCGGCTACCCTGGACGTATTTTTCCGTTCATAACTTATATTTAAAGTAACATTTAAAATACAATATAACGCGGCTGATGATTGTAAAACGAAAATTAAAATTATACCGCGAATGTTTCTTTTTTTAAAAATCGAAATTTATTCTCAAAGAGAAATAGCGACATTTCTAACTTTGAGGATGAGGTATGGAAAGGTGAAACATGAAGAGTAATGGAGAACGGAAAAATAAAAAGTGTCCAGGGGCGGGAATCGAACCCACACCCTTCTGCTTACCGGGCAGGTGCCTTGTCCACTCGGCTACCCTGGACGTATTTTTCCGTTCATAACTTATATTTAAAGTAACATTTAAAATACAATATAACGCGGCTGATGATTGTAAAACGAAAATTAAAATTATACCGCGAATGTTTCTTTTTTTAAAAATCGAAATTTATTCTCAAAGAGAAATAGCGACATTTCTAACTTTGAGGATGAGGTATGGAAAGGTGAAACATGAAGAGTAATGGAGAACGGAAAAATAAAAAGTGTCCAGGGGCGGGAATCGAACCCACACCCTTCTGCTTACCGGGCAGGTGCCTTGTCCACTCGGCTACCCTGGACGTATTTTTCCGTTCATAACTTATATTTAAAGTAACATTTAAAATACAATATAACGCGGCTGATGATTGTAAAACGAAAATTAAAATTATACCGCGAATGTTTCTTTTTTTAAAAATCGAAATTTATTCTCAAAGAGAAATAGCGACATTTCTAACTTTGAGGATGAGGTATGGAAAGGTGAAACAACAACAACAACAACAAAACAGCTTTATTAGGGCATCTTGCCCTGTACGGATTCTCCGTGGAGTTACAGACAATATTAACCATAAGAGAACAGGTGAAAATATAGTATTTACAGTCAAGGTATGTCAAACAGGGTGACTTTTTATTGTGCCCCTGTTCTTCTCTCTTCCATGAGTGCAATTTTATTCCCAACCGCTTTTTGAAAGTTGAACAGTTCAATTGCCCAACTTTTCTTATCTGAAACAGTTTTTATTAGCTTTATTGAGTTCAAATGCGGTCTAGGAAGACTTTTCAGGATCTTTTTTCTCTCTCCTTCCAGATCCCCGCATTCGGCAATAAAATGGTATATTTCATCAGTTATCTGACTTCCACATAACCCACAGTACAAATCTTCTTTCTTAATTGCGTAAATATGATTTTCTTTGATCATTGTTGACATTAATCTGATCTGTGCAATAAAGCTCACTAAAGCTGAAGACAGATAGCATGAAAAGTAATTTTCTGGAATAAATGAATCATAAAGTAACCTATAGTTTGAGTATGTTTTCGTAAGAGATAATTTTGCCAGATCTTGCTGCAATAGCTGTTCAATTTTTATTTTTAGTATATTCGGAAGTTCGATCTGTATGTCATCATAATTTAACCTATAGTTTAGCCATGTGAGTCCACAATGATTGATGATATCCATAATATTCTTACAGAATCCTATAGGTTTTTTTGTCATTAAGGAAATTTCCTTCAATCTATTCCAGCATAGCTTAGGTAGTCTATTGTCTTCCATTTTTTGTAATCTAATGAAATATTTCAAAATTAATTTGATCGTTGTAAAAGTCAAAGATATTCTGCCTGTTTCCAGCCTTACAATGTACCCTGGTATATATCTTGGTAGATTCAGAAAATTTTTGATAAACGTATTCTGTAATTGGTCTATAATATCCGTATTGTCCCAAGCCCACACAGGGGCCGCATAGAGCAGTATTGATTTAATAACTGAGTCAAATAGATTCAGAGCAACTTTTAATGAGTTAATTTTTTCTATTTTTATCAGTCTAATAGTTGCATTTATTGCCGTATTTGCTTTGGCTTTATAAAAGAGGGCTACCTTTTTACTATTAATAGTGGAAGTGAATGGATATCCCAGATATGTAATATTGGACGCAACAGTCAGTGGGGTGTCACCCCAGTACCAGTTTTCGTGTCTTGCCGGTCTTCCTCCATTTCTGAATACTATTATTTTGGATTTATTTTCATTTAAAACTAATTTGTTCTTATCCAGGTAAGACTTTAGTAAATTGATTTTAATTTGAAGATTAATTTTCGATTCTCCAATTATGGCTATGTCATCCGCATACATAAGTAGGTGTAAAACGCCAAAATCAGGGAGATGAAATCCTGTAAGTGCTGAGTTATTATAAAGTTCTATTAGGTCGGCCATATATAGTATAAATAAAAGTGGGGAAAGTGATTCTCCCTGCAACACTCCAGAATTAATTTTCACATTATTTGAATATTGTCCTTTCCATCGGATAGTGATCTTAGCTTCTTGGTAAAAGTTTTTTATCAGCATTACAAATTTATTGCTAATGCCCATTTTATGCAATTTTTGCCAAAGTAAATCATGTGGGACTGTGTCGAAAGCTTTAGTCAAATCGACGAAGAAGACATATAGCTTGCCTCGTTTTCTTCTCAGAGATAATTGGATGAGTGAATTCAGTAGTATTATGTGGTCAGTGCATGATCGGTTCTTACGGAAACCTGCTTGGTTTTCTAAAATAATCATTCTTTTTTCTATCCAGTTGTTTAATCTGTTTCTTAGTATTGTAGTAAATAATTTAGATATATTACTGCAGAGGGCAATCCCTCTGTAATTTGTTGGGTTATTCTTATCACCGCTTTTATATATAGGGTGTACTATTGAGTTCGTCCAGAGTTGCGGGTATTTTTCTGTGGACATTATTTTGTTGAATAGGTTTTTCAATTTATTTAAAGTCGGTATTGGTAAATTCTTTAGCAACTCATTTGGTATACCATCGAGTCCCACTGCTTTGCCGTTCGCTAGTTTTTTTACTACATCATGGATCTCTTCAAGGGTTATTTCCGCGTCTAAATCTGGATCTTTCCAACCGATCATCTGGTTTACCGTAAAAGTAGCTTCTTTATTTTCTTTGTTCAGTAAATTTTTATAAAATAAAAACCATTCTTTTATATCAATCTCACCTTGTATTATTGGTTTTTTTCTGAAGGATGCAATGGCATTCCAGAAGGATTTGGGATCTTTGGCGTTCTTTATCCTTTCATTCTTGTCCTTATTGAATTCATCTCTTTTTCTTTGCAGGAGCTTAAAATATTCCCTCCTAGCCTCAATATATTTTTGGCGGTCGTGTATGTTATTTGAGTTCCTACATCTTTGTAAACTTACTTTGGTCGTTTTTTTCATAATATAGCAATCTTTGTCATACCAAGGTTTTGAAAGTTGGTGTCGTCGTTTAGCAAATTTAATTATATTTGCCGATTCCATTGCCGTGTAGATCTGTTTAGTAAAATTTGCTGTTTCTGTGTTAATATCGGTTTCATTTCCAACTTCAATATCACTTAAATTATGTTTTAGCATCTCCACATTTTCTTTCGTCCAAATGAATTTTCGTGTTAGTATTTCATTTTTGTACGAGGATTTAATAGCTTCATACCCAGTATTAATTTGTAAAACAATTGGTAAGTGGTCTGAATATGAAAGTTCTTCGATCCACATATCCGATATGATCTGTGTTAAACCGTGTGTGTACATGAAATAATCCAAAACCGATGAACCTCTTTCTGAAATAAAAGTGAATGAGCCGTGCGTGTCACCCTTAGTTCTTCCATTAGCTATTGTTATAGAATTTGAATCAGTGAAGGAAATTAGTTTTTCAGATAGTTTCGAAGATATTAGGTCTTTAGATTTCCTATATTTGTTGAGGGGTGAGCCGCGTTATATTGTATTTTAAATGTTACTTTAAATATAAGTTATGAACGGAAAAATACGTCCAGGGTAGCCGAGTGGACAAGGCACCTGCCCGGTAAGCAGAAGGGTGTGGGTTCGATTCCCGCCCCTGGACACTTTTTATTTTTCCGTTCTCCATTACTCTTCATGTTTCACCTTTCCATACCTCATCCTCAAAGTTAGAAATGTCGCTATTTCTCTTTGAGAATAAATTTCGATTTTTAAAAAAAGAAACATTCGCGGTATAATTTTAATTTTCGTTTTACAATCATCAGCCGCGTTATATTGTATTTTAAATGTTACTTTAAATATAAGTTATGAACGGAAAAATACGTCCAGGGTAGCCGAGTGGACAAGGCACCTGCCCGGTAAGCAGAAGGGTGTGGGTTCGATTCCCGCCCCTGGACACTTTTCATTTTTCCGTTCTCCATTACTCTTCATGTTTCACCTTTCCATACCTCATCCTCAAAGTTAGAAATGTCGCTATTTCTCTTTGAGAATAAATTTCGATTTTTAAAAAAAGAAACATTCGCGGTATAATTTTAATTTTCGTTTTACAATCATCAGCCGCGTTATATTGTATTTTAAATGTTACTTTAAATATAAGTTATGAACGGAAAAATACGTCCAGGGTAGCCGAGTGGACAAGGCACCTGCCCGGTAAGCAGAAGGGTGTGGGTTCGATGAACTTCACACAGACAGAATAAGGCAATTATATAAGTAGATAAGTATAATAATAATAATTATCATTAGATAATGATCATAATGATGATGCGCGCGTTGATGACCAAAATCTATCCGTGAACTTCACACAGTGAACTTCACACAGACAGAATAAGGCAATTATATAAGTAGATAAATATAAATATTCTAACTAAATTAAACAATTAATAAACTGGCCAGAATATAAGAAAAATATAAAATTGCTTTTGTTGGGACACCTCGAGACCATAATATGCCAAAGTAACCCAGAACCCCACTTAACCTAACCATATCCCACCTTTGTTCATCTAAGCCACAAACTTCTGGTGATTGCAAGGTGTCGAGATGGAGCCTGAAGCCACCTTTAGCCTTGGCAGCACCGAGCCAGAGACTGAGAACTCCTTCCTGTGGTCAAGCCACCTGACCTGGCCCTACCAAGCTAGTCTGAGATGGACTCAGACACCCCTTCCTGGTGGCCGACTTGACCACAAGCCAGTCCAAGATGGACTCAGACGCCCCTTCCCTGTAGTCAAGCCACCGACCTATGGTGCTTGACCTGACTTCACCAGTATCAAGCCAGACTCCAGCATGCCTATGGACAAGCCACAAGCCCATGGTGGGTGTTATAATCACGATCTTCATGCAGAACACCAGCTCCACCACGAGTCCTGAACCTTTCCCAAGCTGACCCTAAGATGCCCACAGATCAGACAATATTAATCATATTTTTAAAATTATTATTTTTTAATTCAATATTTTCGTATTTTTTATTTTATTTTTGTGAATATTTCTTTAATAAATTTTATTTTTATATATTTTTATCATTTTTTTTAAGATGCCTTCTTTATTTTTTATTTTCATAGAGAGAAGAGTGATGATAGCCTTGGGGGTGAGTCCAGCAACATTGGGGCAAGGAAGCGGGATATTTACATTTTTTAGTGAGAGTTTGATTTTCTTCCTGAGAAGCAGAAAAGACTGGAGTTGCGGAGGGCTCAGGCCGCTGGCTGCGGCCTTAGCCGCCCTTTTTCAATCGTGGACTTGGGGGGCTGGATTTCGAGGTAGGTTGGGGATAATCTGGGACTTTGGCATAATAGGCCTTTTGTATAAAGTTTATATATACTTTTAAAAACCTCCCTTTTAGCCATATATATAGTTTTTTCTTTAATACTTTTTTTTCAAATCTTATATATATATATATATATATATATATATATAATGACCCGGGCAACGCCCGTGTTTTACCCGATTGAATGTTTTTATTCAAATACTATTTGTTACAATTATAAATTGGAGCCGTGGATGTCACTCTTGTGAAACGTCCCGCTCCAAACTTTACATGTACATTAGGTCAGCTGGTATTACCCCTCATTTTCACCGCTAGAGGCGCGAGCGAATTGACTTTTTGTAAATATACATAATTATAAAGATAGAAGCTTCTATAGAAGATAATGATCATAATGATGATGCGCGCGCATCCGTGACAGCGATGAGGAATTGAGGAAAGACGGTCGTGACTATATATATTAATGTGTGATTCTATTAAGTAATTTTTCTTTGTTTTTAATAAATATACCTGATGTACATTGAAAGATTATTTTATTGGTCTAAATAAAAATTTGTTTAGCCAAAAAATGATTGGTTAATTTCCCCTCCAACATTAATTGCTAACCAGCACAGCTTTAGGTCTCTACATGTGCCATAGATGAATAAATTTGTGGTCTGCTTTTCTGCAGCCACTGGCGCCCGAATAGTTGGACATGTAGAGATCTGGAAATAGTTTATTTAAAAACAACAACAAAGTAAAAGTATAAAATCATCCCGATTTTAACAATGGCGCCCAAAAGCGAGGCACGAATTATGTTTATAATTTTCTTCTTTTATTATACTAAAAGTATAAAATCATCCCGATTTTAACAATGTCGCCCGCCGCGGGGCTCGAATTATGTATATAATTTTCTTCTATTATATTCAAAAAATATATACATATGAAACGCCATTAGGGCTAAGTAAAACATGATCCTGAGATTAAGAATCAATACCCAGGGAAATGAAACTAATAAAATATTTTTCAATATACATATAATAATTATTAGTAAATTAAATTTTATTGCCATCTATCGTTAAAATTTTACACAAATAAATTTACTGGCAATGCGTTTCTTTTAAATATCATCAAATATTATCTCTACAGACCTTACTGCAATGATATTTAAAAGAAACGCATTGCCAGTAAATTTATTTGTGTAAAATTTTAACGATAGATGGCAATAAAATTTAATTTACTAATATATATTTGTTATGAAAACATATTTTGCGGAAGAGCTTTGCTCGATGCAATACCTTGAAATTATATGTATGTACCTCTACAGACCTATAAGCTTATGTCCATAGTTCCTTAAACACCCCTAAGCTGCCTTCCATAGAAAATGCAGGGTATATAACAAAACCAGTCCAATACAATAGTAGAGCGGTCTAGAGATTAATTTGGCGAAACCACTGAGAGGGTTCACTACTGATGAGCCAAGCCCTCTCATTCAATAACTCATATCATTGCAGTAAGGTCTGTAGAGATAATATTTGATGATATTTAAAAGAAACGCATTGCCAGTAAATTTATTTGTGTAAAATTTTATAGAATAATTATGTTTAGGTAGATATTTAACTCTCATTATATAACTATTATTATATAACTTGCATTTTTTTACAAGCAAGTTTGTGTTTTGAATTATTTAAAGTGATAATAATCATCCAATATACACTCTGTAGTAAGTAAACAAATATAATGCTGCTTTTAAAACTATTGTTTTGATGAGTTTAAGTTTGAATTTTTGTATGTTTTAATAAACATTTATATTTAATACTTTATACTACTCATGGTATTATTATATATGGGAGTTAGGTAAATATAACAAACGTTATTTTTAATTTACAGTATTATAGCTTCCTGGTTCCTGGTTCAAATCACATTAATAGGTACCGCTCAGCAAGAGCAACCTAGTTCATGATAATTGAACAATGAATAATATGTGAAGGTTATTCACATATTAAACAAATTTTAACACGGGATTCAATCCCGGTTCATGACTGTCGGGAATCGAGGGGGTTACCCACTCGTCCACCGACTTTTTATATATTATAGCTTCGTCGATTGATATATTATAATTTTAAAGAATGTAACTTACAATTAGACAAAAAACAACGCTAGGCCTAGATGAAATTCGACCCATGATTGGCAGCTTAGTTTAAATTTAGGACCTAGTGCAGAAAAACAACATCTGGAATCACCAGATGTGCAGGGGCCAAATATAAATTTTGGCGCTAGGAAATGGTAAACACTGACGTCAGAATTTCTCCACATTCTTGCTCACGATTGGCTGAAAATGACCACGTGACCCCCAGCCAAGTTTTTCAACACAATAGTTAATTAAATTTAATTACCATTTCTTTCTTTTAAGTAGAAAATGAAGTGGAAAAGTGCAGAACATGTCAGGAATATTCAAGAAAGAATCCTGAGGAGTCAAGAATAGCTCATGAAATCCCTGAATTTCCATGGGAAAAAATTGCTGTAGATTTCATGGAGGTGAGTGGAACCAGTTCCATCTTGATTGTCGATTACCACTCAAAGTTTGTTGAAATCCGGAAATTATCAAGCAAAAGAGAAACCGAAACCATCATGCAGTTGAAAACCATTTTCAGGACTCATGGAATTCCAAGAACTCTAGTTTCGGATAATGGACCCCCTTTTAACTACTGGATTAAAAAATTTTGCTCAGAAATATGAATTCAAACACCAAACCTCCAGTCCCAAATATCCAAGATCTAATGGAAAAGTTGAGAGGACAATTCAAACCATCAAAGGACTGATAATTAAAGCTGTGAAGTCAGGAAGAGATCCCAATCTGGCTTTGATGGAGTTCAACAACACACCTAAGTATGACTTGCCATCTCCGACCCAAATGCTTATGGGAAGATCTGTGAGAACTCTTTCGACATACACCCGACAACAGTTGAAACCACTGTTTGACACAACAAAGAATTACCAAAAATTGAGAGACCATCAACAAAAGTATGCAGGAAGTCCAAAGAGAATTTTAAGACCTTTGGAAGTAGGAGACAACATCATGTTGCAGGAAAGGCATAGAAAATGGGTTCCGGCAACAGTGACCGCAAAGCATGAAACTCCACGCTCATATATGGTGAAAACACCAAGTGGGTCTGAATACCGCAGGAACAGGTCTCACCTTAGACCGAGAAAGTTCAGTGCAGAAGATTCTGCCCCAACAATTCAAAGTCCAAGCATTCCTGGATTTCAAGCAGGGACAGCCATGGATGACAACATACAAGATCATGGAAGACCCACTTCCGAAAACAGAAGAGCATGTAATCCAAGGGAGGACGTTGCCAAGAAAGGTGAAGAATCATCTACTTCTCCTAGTGTGCGAACCCGCAGTGGTAGAACAGTAAGAAAACCTTTGCGTTATAGAGACTAGGAGAATTACAATCCTTTTTTATTTTTGTTTAAAGGAAACATGCTATGATTGAACTGACAAGTTGATCTGGCAACACGGCAGACTCGATTGGTAGACATTCATATATATATAGAACAAGGATATAAAAACATAAGTTAATAAATAAAGAACTTAGTTCAGTTGCATTTTGCGTGATCAAAGAGGCACAAAGAACAACATAAACAACAAAACTTGAAAAAAATCATCATTATCATTTTTAAAAACTCGCATTATATAAAAATTATAAACTTATTTTTGTTTTTCTTAATATTTTATCTTTTCACCAAAACACCAATTTCTTGATCAAATTCTTAAAATATTGAAAAAATCATTGTCATATTCACCATTTTATGTAAACGTCCCAATTCAAGCTATTCTCGTCACTATCACGTCATTGCCCATTTACAAGGATAATTTTCACGCTACCATAATCAATGTGTGATAAGAAAAAAAAAAACAATTTTTAAATATAAATCAACATAGGTGTAAAA